ATAGAAAACTTAACCTTCTTTCTGTCTTCGACCTTTGCTTATATCCTCTGGTAATCATTTCGTTGTCACTTCCGACCTGTCACCTTGGCCGAAAGTCTATGCTCTAGCTTACCTTGTTCATGGTGAAGGTGTTCTGTTCCGACAGAGAGGGGTTATCGCAATAAATACTGTAAGGGGCCTCATTAATGGCGATGTGCCGTGGCAATAACTTTGCAGATCTTTGTCTGCTGATGTGGCTTGCCCTTCTCTCGCCATGTGTCTTGGTGTCATTCGTTCTCATTGCTACATGGGGCTTCAGCAGTGCTGGGCTTTAGCATTTAAGTTATGTATTGGGCCCTGAATGGTGGGCTATAATCTTTATAGGCTTACCCATGTCATTTACAAATTTTTATTTTGTGGACAAGAAGAAAAATGGTTAACGATTTTTTAATTGGGTGATAGGGCTAACTAATTCTATTTGGAATATTTACTTTCTGTGACTTTTTAATAGCACAATTTATTTGTTTGTTACATATGGTGCATTATTACTTTGAGATTAAAGAATGTTATTCTGTTTGATTGTATGTCATCTCAATTGATCTACAGAAAAACTTGATTGCCTAAATTCTTATATTGGATGGTTTCATACATAAATTATTCTAAACTCCAATTCAAATTATTCTTCCTAAGAATTTGTTAGTACAATTTTTGTTAGGCTTAGATCAATAGAGCCTTAACAAAAATTTCACCAAACAACACAATAATCAAGCAATTATGTTGAGGTTTTATGCCTTGAAAGTTCGAGGACTTTTTTGGAGTAAAAATAATGGCAATACAAACAAGAAAAAGAGAAAGATAGAAGAAGATGATGGTGTAAATAATTGAATGAATATAATCAAATATAAGTAAAGTACATTAAAACTACTCCTATGTAGATTAGATCTACTCCTAGGATAGAAAATAAATAGAAATCAAGTCGTGTATTGATTTGTTAGTGTCTTACAATAGAGCCACTAATGGCAATTTATAGAAAAGATGAAGGAAAAAACTTCCATTAACCACCTCCTAAATAATTATTTTTAACTTCCTAAATCTTCCATCTACTTTCTTACAATGACATGTGTCTTCCATCCCTTGAATCTTCAAAACTTGTCTAACTTCTCTTTCACCTCCAAGATTTTCCAGCATAATAAGAAGAAGAAGAAGAAAAACAAGTAATAGAAAATTTAAACCTAGTCATAATCGACGGAAAATTTATTTATGGTGCAAACAGACTTTTACTTCTATTGAAATATTTATCTAGAATTTGCACACTCACATGCCAGCTACTTTTATATATTCCTAATAGCATGCTAATAGATGTGTGGCGGTTTTGTCAATTTGTAAATTTGGATTGTGATAGTCGGTATTGTTTTTGTTATATATAATAAAAGGTTTTTTTTATTATTTTACTTTAAAAAAAATAATAAAAATAAAAAATAAAAAAAGAAGAAGAAGAAGAAGAAGAAGAAGAAGAAGAAGATTGGAATGTGGCGGTGAGTTATTTGTAAGTAAAATCAAGTTGTGTGACATTTTTAAAAAGAGAAATATTTGAAATATTTTTCAATTTTCTATAAGTGTGAGTAAGAAGATATCTCTTGGAAAAAAATGATTGTTTATGTTTCGACTTTCTAAAGATTTATATTGTGGGGGTGAATGATATATGTGTGTTTTCAAATTCTTTATTATAAAAGGATAATTAACTTATTTGTGAAAAGAAAAATAAAGAATTTTAAAAGGTGAAAAATATTTTATTTCAAGTTCGTATCATGGGGAAAACAAAATGAAAAGATACTAGTGGCTCCTACTGAATGTAAGACCACTGGCCGCAATGTGTATTTCCTAATATAGGCTATTGATTACGAAAATTTGTAGTTCCTAGCAGCATGGCTATTGACTACTTGGAACAAATATATTTGATGGATTCAATATGTTTCCTCGGTTCAGAAAATATAAGGATCATACTTGCTTGATGGATCCTTGATGAAAAATTGGATATAATTGCATGATGAGTCCAATTTAACATTCACCCAAAAAAAAGAGTCCAATTTAAAAAGTTTACTTGATGAACCCTAAAAGGGAAAATTGTGTTGCGCAATAAATAAAAACTGGCTTTATTATGAGATATTTCATGTAATGGATAAAATTATTGATCAACTGATATATGAAATTTGAAGCTTGAGAAGCTCAAAATTATTATGACTTGAGAAGTTAAATATTGAGGCAAATATTATTAATAAACTCGAGGAGTTATCGCCTCTAGACTAGCAAGGCTAGATCCATATTTATAGGTCAAGGGGGATGTGCTAAGCCCTAAGGAAGTAACCCAACCTCTATGATTGCCAACCTCATGGAGGAGATTCGATGGATAGAAACAATCGTTAAAATGTGACTTAATTCCAGCACTTACTATTTTAGGAGACACCATAAAAGTTGTTTTTCTACCCATCCCTAAGGCAACAATGCTGATGAGTGACTGGTTAGGAAGGATTTTACCCTGAATGAAATCAAGGTAAGGTGTATTCTATCACTATACCTTTGAAGGATTCTACTAAATGGGAACCATCACGAGGCCGCGATCATGAGACGTGGGCTAGTCTTTAACATTTCCATGAAAATCAAGATCAAAGTGCATGGCCATTAAAAACACTAATCCGCGAACTATTGTCTAATACCAATGTTATGTGTGTGACATGTTAACCTTCGGTTCAAATAGTCTAGTTCAAGACTTTGTTCACTATGATTTCTCGGAGGCAAACTGTTATCACTAAGTGAGATTCAAGTCCGGAAGATATCTACACCTATTACACAGTATATGTTGCCCATTATATATGTTCCATATCTATATTATTTTCAATTGTAGTTTTGAAATGTGAGGATATGTTACAAATTTTGTAAAAATATTAAAACTATTTATTTTTATTAAAAGTGGGGGATTGTTGGGATATTTTTAACAAAAATAAAATAATATATTGTTTTAATAAATTCAATAAATTGTGAGGTACAAAAGGTTTTATATATATCTCATTATTTCTTTGTTTAATATAATGTTAAATGGTGGTTTATTGTTATCATTAAGTGAATTTTTATTATATAAAATTAAGTGAATTTTTATTATATAAGTTACTAATATATAGTGCTATATAAGTATATGGTTTTCTATGAGTTGGAAGACGCATAAGACACAAGAAGAGATTGAAAAGATGATTTGGGAGAAGAAATGTTTTATGAGAGTTTTATATTGTATTTTGGGCAATTTTGGTTTGTGATATGGCTCAAGCCTCTTGGTGGTCGTGAACACTAGATGAAGGACACTGTGTACGATATGGATTTTTATCTTAGAACTCTTTCACTCCGATTGTACCTTCATGAAGGAAGAAAAAGAAATTTTAGGACAGTGATAACACGACTCCCAAAATCTCACAGCTATGTTTCAGTACACTTAATTTTGTGTATATATATTATTGTTTATTATCATTGATATTATATAGTTCATACTAATTATCTTATTTATTATATTGTTAGACTAATAGTCCATTTGGAAGTATAAGAATGAGTGTGTTTTCAATGGATCTCAGCCTCAACTGGATGTATTATGTGAATTGGTGAAGGTTAGGATTGTGGATTAAATACCACTTTCCTCACACTGCTTGGTCAGCGCATGATATGGTGTTCAATTTGCATCAGATTAGAGCACATTAATTGTGCTTGTGATTGAGCAGCAGGGGAGTATTTGGATCTAAGTAGTTCTTAACTCTTGTAGAAGCTTTGAAGGTGTCGTCTATATAATTGAGCTACTCTGTTTTGTTTGTGATTGAGCAGCAGGGGAGTATTTCGATGGTTTCTCATTAACTCTCTTGACTTGAGTTAGCATATGATTGTGTGATTTTCTTGGTGTTAACTTAGTTGGGATTTGGATGCGTCACTATGATGCTTTTTGCCCTTAACTTCCCTTTATTGATATAATCTCATATTTAATGCATGTGTTTTATCATTAATAAAGTTTATTTTTGTTGATAAAAAAAATACATATATGCATTCCTGGTTATACCATTTTCTTATTTAGTTATAATATTATTTTAATTATGATGCATGAGATCTTTAGTAATGTTTTTTATTGTATTTAGTTATGACATTTTATTTATTTTTTAATGAATCAGAAAGTATGAAATTATGTTATTTTTTTTAGTTATAAAGCACATATGATGCGCGCGATGAATTTCCATATGATCTACTTCTTCAATCTTTATGTCTTGTTTTGCTTATCTACATATTGTGATCTGCTCATCATTTTTCTTTCAATCACTTTAGTGGTTTTTAATTGCTATCTAGTTGATATCCCTCGTCACAAACCCTCATCAGTATGATTCTATATTTATGTATAATTGTTTCAACTATGTGAAAGATGTACAATAATGTGTGTGTGTGTGTGTGTTGAGGAATGGTGCTGTAAAGCTTTATGTATATCAAAACTTGGTTGGTTCCACAAGATATAAGTCCAAATTTGTAGACCAAAAATTACTGCACCATTCCTCAATAGAGCTTTACATATATACATAAATATATATATACACACAATGTACACATCTTAGTTCCACAATGTTTTCAAATTTGTATTGAATTATACAGCCCACTTGAGTTAGTGGGTTCATCTAAATTTCTCTAGACTTTGAAAAAAGTTTTAAATATATGAGATTTTACTATGCTAAATAGGTGCTGGGCAGATGTAAACGCCTTGATTTTTTATTATTTTTCACTTGAACCATCTTACCCTGTATTTGGTTTTGATGATGGTGCCACAAGTACACATCAATGCTTCATGAGTCCTCTTTTTCTACGTCTTAGGTGCTGTTTAAGTGTGCAACTCCTCCACACCATATTAGTCCTTGGATTACAAATATTTGGTCAAGATCATTGAATTGTTTAATAATAAAAAATTAAAAACCGGGACAACCGGTTAACCCTCCTATTTCTCTCCCACTTTCCTCACTCTATTTCGTCTCTCCCTCTTTTTCTCTTCCTATGTGTAAGGTTCACTATGTAGCCCTTGATTTCAATTAACAAGAAGAAGCCCCTGCTGGGTTCCACTGTTGAATGTCTATATAACCCTTGATTTTCAGCAACAACGGAACTGCAAGCCTCTATGGGATTCCATCGTTGAAGTGAAGGCGTTCTCTCCAACTAGATATCAGGTATGGAGCTCTCTCTCTCTCCATTTCAACGATTCTACCTCAACCAAACCCTCATTCTAACTTCAAACCCTCTATAATTCCCTCAACCTGAAACCCCTCCATCTGCAACAATAACGTCTCTATCTTTCTCAATTGATTTTTGGGGAAGCCCTAACTCTCTCTCTCTCTCTCTCGATTTTTGGAGTGCGGTAACTCCCTCTTTCTTTTCATGATCGATCAATTTCTTCATCTCCTTCGCGCTTCTAAAATCAATTCTATTTCTGCTTCTTGTAGCCGTAGTTTTATTTTTTAAGTTACATGATGTGGTGTTTTAATAATTCACACACGCACACTTGCATTGCAAGTTTTTTTTTTTTTTTTAAGCTTTTTGTTAATTTAGGTTTTGGTTATGTTTTGTTTCATCAAAAAATTGCATAATTTGGACTTGTGTAGTTGTCTTGGTGCTTGGTTTCAGACTATTTTGTAGATAATCTATGGTTCCAGATGTTGTTTGAATTTACGATTTTGTCCCTGAAATTATGCTCTCGTGATTATGCTCTCGTGAGGCTCACAGTTGTCATTTTTGTCAAAAAATCTAACTAGCATTATTGACTGAACTAAATAGAGATAAAACTCAAAATTTAAAGTTAAATTTGAGTTAATTGCAATTACAAGAACAAAATTGACACAAAAGGCAGAGTACATGGACATAGAATTTACCTAGTGCCAACCAACAAAAAACTTGAATTCTTAGAGGAATAATGGTTTATGCAATTTATGCAGAAAAACTTAAAAATGTTAACTAGCCATCATTTTCAGCCCTCCATTGTAATGAGTTAGCCTTATTACTGCTTGAAACAACACTCTCCAATAGAGAGTGTAATTCTCATTCAATTTTCAAACAAGTCTGCCGCTGTTTCTGCTTTTTGAGTAGATAGCAAAATGAGACTTGGAAAACAGACTCAAAGATGAATTTTCAAACCATACATTAGACCAAAAAATAATAGATGAGGCAGAACCTACATTCAGTCTAAGGTTACTTTGTAACAAATCTTTAAAGGTGCTCTGTTCAATTCAAGATTTAACAATTTTTCACAATGACATAATATAAAAATAGGTTTGACAAGGAAGCTTTAATCGAGGTAAGCGTAATTACTTCTTTTACCATATTGCTAACTTCTTTTTGAGGAGGTAAAGGAAAAGTGACAAAAAAAACTAAGCTTATATTCCCGTCGCAAATCCAAGATCCAAACCCGACCTTAGTTAACATGTGTGTATGTGTAGATGTAGTATGATTGATGATCAAAGAAATTTTCAAAGAGAACATATTTGTTGACTTAACATGGATTTTATTCACATGGATGGTGAAGTTGATGAGAATTGTGTAAAATTAGATGCATTGCCCTTTTTGTCAACCTTAAGTTATCATACAAAATGATGGCTAATCGAGGGCTAAAACATTCAAAATTCCAAATATGCTGATTTGAAAATGTTTTTAAGTCAACAGTACCAAACTTCGAGAATTTGGTGGTGATAGAGTTGTTGTGTGCTTGTTACTTCAAGAGGAAAAGGGAATCTTAAAAGTTTATTGGCACAAGCTAATTTGGTTTTCCAAATGTATTACCAAGCATAGTTTTATCTTTTGGATGGCGATTAAAAGTAAGCTCAGGACTAGAGATAAGCTCTTTGAATGAGGAATTATTAGAGCAATGCAACCCGCTTGGTTTGCATTCAGGAAATTGAAGTCTACAGCACCTCTTCTTCTCATCATGTCCATTTTCTAGAGCTATTTGGTTTTAGGTATCTAACCTGTGTAATATCAGTAAGCCCTGCCATCTCTGGTAAGCTGAACTCAGTCAGTTAGTTGGTAAACTTTGTGGGAAAAACTTCCAGAACACTGTTAAGAAGCTTGCTTGGTCTACTATGATCTATACTACATATGGCAGGAAAGAAACCATAGAATTTTTAGAGGCTTGCAACACATCCTAGCCCAAATTTTGCAACAAATCAACTATGAATGTCAGGATTAAATCTTCTCAGCTTCATGGAGTCAAGCCTTCTGCTTCTAATATCTCGATTTGTAGTAATTGGAATATGCCCTAAGATGTTTTTGAGTATTAACTATTAGATTTATTTGGAATGATTGTAGTTTGAGTTTTCTTCTCTTGTAATGGAAGGTATGTCTTCTTTGTTGATTTTGCTAATCTGATTTTGGTGATGAACTCTCACTTACTATACAAAAAACACTCAGTAAAGGTTCAACTTGGAACTAGCATCATTAGTAACCAATAAACACCTCTAGCCACTTTTGTCTATTTTCAAGTAGATAGCACAAACAGTCTTGGAAAACACTCCCTCAAAGATGAACTCAAAATATGGGCAACCTTTAGTTACAATGCAAAATGATGGCTATTTGAGGATAGAGTTGCTAATAATTCGTTTTGCCAAATGATGGTAGAAGGCGCATCCCAACTAGGTTGTTCCATTCAAAAACCCTAAAACACAAAATTCGATTAAGTTCTGTTACATAGCAGTAGCATTATTATAGCAGGTTCTTTCTATTCATCGAAAAAAACACGTTCCTTTTATCAGCTCCCAAAATCAATTCAAAGTGTCTGCAGTAAGACTTTGACTGTAAACCTGCCATCATTTTCTGCCTTCCACTGTGCTTAACTCAGCCTTGTTACTGTTTAAAACAACATTCTCTACCAGAAAGTAGAATTCAATTTTCAATTTCCAATTTCCAATTTTCACTCACTTCATCAGAGATGAATATTCAAAGTGAAGTAAAATGCCCCAAATGAAGTTCCATAAATTATGGTTTTGCATTCCCTTTTGTTTTCTTTTTTTTCCCTTACATATCTGTTGGGCTTGAAATAAATTTGGGCAACCTTTAGTTATGATGCAAAATGATGGTTAATCAAGGGCTAAAACATTTAAAATTCAGAATATGCTGATTTAAAAATGTCATAAGTTGAGAGTGCCAAACTTTGTGAAGTGCCCCCACCCTCCTCCATCTGAAGTGCCCATTTATTTGATGCATTTAATTAGGATCATACTATAGGTAAGTTATAGTCTAAATTAATGTTAGTTACGAATTATTGTGGTGTTTAGTTATGAGCCATCTAAGAAGCACGGACACGGACACGCCGACGCGTTAATTTTCAAAAAATGCAGGACACGACACGTGGGGGACACGTATAAAATAAATAATTCTATATATTTATTATATGTTATATATATGAATATATTATTCAAAGATAATGAAAAATGCAATTTGACACAAATTCTTATAAATTTATATGATTTTTGTTTTATTTTGTATCTTAAGTTGTTTTGTTCAAACTTATAATTAGTTTCACCTTTGTCTAATTGATAGACATGTGTTCAACCGATAAACACGTGTCCAAAGAGTGTCCGGATCTTTAAGAAAAATTAAAAAACAGGACATGTTTTGAGGAGTGTCGGACACGTGTCGGGAAAGTGTCTGAAGAGTGTCGGTGTCCGAGAAGGACACGACACGGATACGTCACATTCTTAGAAGTATCCGTGCTTCTTAGTGAGCCATTAGGGTGGTGGGATTAGAAAATTATTAAATCAAAATTAGTTGCATCCTCTTATGATTTTGATTATGTCTCAAAGCGGTATTGTTACAACTATTGTAATGACTTTGGCTTCAATTATTACTTTAATTGGTGTTAGTTACAACCCAATGCGACTATGATCCATATGAAAAGTATTTTTACATTATTATTTTTTGATTTTTATGTTCTTCGTTTTATATTTTTTTATTTATAATTTTAATGATAATTTTTAATTTTAATGCTTATTAAAATGAATATTTTAATACAATCTTCATGCAAAACATTAATTTTTATGTTTGATTAATATAGATTTTGGTCCCCTCTTAACCAGATTTGTGGATCTGCCATTGTGTTCTGCCAACCCGGATTCACATAGCGCATGACACTCAAACTGCTAATACGGCTGTGGCTGGTTGAGGTGAGTTAACAAATCCATTTTAGCTCCAATATTAAAATAGCACCTACGGGTACAAAAGAAATGTATTGAAGTCATTCTGGACTTTCTGTTCAGTATTGAAGGGGAGTTTGCAATGGTTTTGAGTGAAAAATGGCAGCAAACTTGGTAGTGAGTGTAGGAAGGAACTTCATGACTCCTCGATGATGAACTTCTAGAATGGCAGCAAACTTGGTGGTTTCCTCAATGACGTACCGTGTCTTTGCAGATCAACTTCATGACTCAATGATGAACTTCTAGAATGGGTTGTGATTTTTGGCAATAGTTTCCCTATAACAGTTGTATTGTATTGACAATAATTATGATTGGATCAAAATGAGTTTTATTCTTCTTTTTGTTGTTTTGGTATTGTAAATGGCCACGTGGGTTTTGAGAATCTTGTTTGTGTTTGTTAATGTATTTTGGGTTATGCTATATTCAGTGTTCTTTACCAATTGAGGGTGTGGTTGTGTTTTGATGTTGGTTTCTGTTTGAAAATGGCTGAGATTACATTAGGCTTGAGGCAAGAATGGCAACACTATAGATCATGATGTTTTTTACGCCAATCAAATATTCAATTGATTATACATATAAGTGACAAATCTTGGTCGAAATATACTTTGGCAATTGAGCTGATTATGCATACAAGTCACAATTCAAATTTGCAAGCCAATTTGTTAACTTCGGACCTCGTTGTTAGTGTCATCAATTTGGAAGCCCATGGCCTGGCCAAACACATGGGTTTTGGCCTGTTTTTTGGATTTTGGCCAATTGATGTATGCATTTATTAGCCAATTGGTTATATAATTGATTCCTTACGAGCCGTGGAAACATCAATCAATTGGCCAATCTATTTGGGAGTCCATGGCCATGACAAACAGAAAAAAAAAAGCCTAAGTTTGGCTTTCCTGTGCAGATTTTCTCGCCCCTACGCGGATAATATTTAGATAGTGTTTGGGATAATTTAAATAGGTATATTTTTTGATTTTTTATGAAAAGATATACAAAAAAATAGAGAGGTGATATGATCAAAAAAAGAAAAAAAAATATTTAAAAAATACACATTTATAGGGGATGCCAAATAGTGATTAAATTAAATATATTCATATATAAATAATATATATATATTAATTTTTTTAATATAATAAGATTAAACCACTAAAATTATACACGTACCATTCATTCACTCATATATTCTCATGTCACATATTTTAATTTGGGCAAATTACATTGATAATCCCTATATCTTACTCGTTGCGTCATTTTGGTCTCTACACTTTCAATTGGCTCAATTTTGACCCTTAATTTTAAATTTTGTATTTATTTGGTCCAATTAATAATATCATTAGTGTTTTTTAAGGAAAATTATTACTAAATTGGTTGAGATTAACTCACTGAATTGAGTAAAATATGACAAACAACACTTTTTTAGTATTTTTCATAAAAAAATTGCAACGAATTATAATCAATTGGACTAAGTTGAGACAAAAAAAGTCATAAATTTAGAGTTAAAATTGAGCTAAATGAAATTGTAAGAACTAAAATAAGACAATGACTAAAGTACAGAGAGTACTATCATAATTTACCCTTTCAGTGTTTACTAATTATAAAATATTATTCATAATATACTATCTCTGATTATTGTTGGTATTTTCATTGAATTACAAAATTTGTTTTGTGAACAATATGATATTTGATGGATTATTTAAAATTTGTTTTGTGGACCAAATTTCAAAGGTTTTTATGTGTAGATGAATAACGTAAGTTCGAATGGCTTCTTTATGGATGATGTAATATCTAGATTATGTAAATTTGATTTTAATAATTTACATTTGTGTTGGTTGACATATGGAGGTTGTAAATTTTTTGGATGTCATCCAATATATATGATATTTGGATATTGAGGATATTTGTCCAAGTTGATTTTTTCATGTCAATCCAGGTTGTTGATCTTTGTTTTTGAGAGTTACCTTGATCTTATTTGGGTAAATTATCAATAAATTTTAATAGTTTAACTTAATTCTCATCAAGTCCTATTAAAAATAGGTCTTAGTATAATCGTCGCTAAAAACAATTTTTTGTGATTATTTTTTGCATATGTCCCTAAAAATTAATAATTAATCACTTTTTTTGTCACGGTTTTTATAAATTGTCGTTAAAACTTATAATTAGTAACTTTTTGTGACGAATTTTTTAAATTGTCCCTAAAAGTTAAAAATTAGTAACTTTTATGTGACGATATTTTTAAATTGTTGCTAAAATTGTAATTAGTGACATTTTTTGTAATAATTTTCAAACTATCACTAAAAATTAGTTGTTACTGACTTTTTTAATAATGTTGATGAAAAACGCCATTAATTATTATAGGACTTAAAATCTACACGTAAGTCCCCTTTTTATTTTTGAGGTGGTTGGTCTATGTGCAAAAAATTCATTTTGGATTAAGTGCATTTTAATTAATTATGTAAATTTTTGCCAGTGAATTTGTTAAGAACTGCCTAACAAATTCATCTTCATTCGATTGTATAATTGATTGGCAATCAAAAGCCTTGCAATTTCATCCCTAATCAATTGCACAATCCACCAGAGAATGTCTAAAGTTAATTACATCTATTACATTTCCATAGAAGAGGATGGATATCATGACCTTACGTTGCTTCTTGTTGAAAGATATGAAGCATTGATGTTGGACCCAATAAATTCATCGCATGACTTAATTATTGCAGAAGTAAGAATTGATCCTTTTCCTTTGAAATGTGAGGGGGAACTGATGATAAAATCAATTAGCAATCAAGTTGGAAAAAGTACATAATTGGCATTACAATTAGCATTGCTAGAAAAATAAAGTTGCTAAGGAATAACATGGAAACAATAAAAAATTTATAACTCTTTTTATCTATTTCTTTTATTCTTGTTGTTGTTTTGTACACAACAGAATTTAATCTATTTAAATACAGTGAAGATTGTCCTACAAAAATCAATTAACAAGATCAAGTCGGAAAAAGTACATAATTGGCATTACAATTAGCATTGCTAGAAAAAATAAAGTTGCTAAGGAATAACATGGAAACAATAAAAAATTTATAAATTCAAATGAAAATAAACAAATTGGATCATTCCATTTCCAATTATCAACCCCTCGAGCTCAAACAAGAGAAGCAACAACTAACAAGTACATAAAAAACAAAGCAATAATGGAAGGTTGCAAGTTGCATTTCTCTAGGTAATAAAATAGTTCCTTCATTCAACATTCATGTCCCTTGACAATCAAAAGCATTTTCTATACGCGTTGATCACAAAAACTCATCAGACTTTGCCTTAGCAATCCACAAATGGGGAAACTCGAAGCTCATTGTAGGTGTGGTGTGAGCACTTCTCCATATCATCCCACTTGCTCACAATACCTTAGCAGTCTACATATTCTATCTCTTCTCTTCAGTTGACTAGTGACTGATGAGAAAGATATTCGACTTGTGCATTTTTTTTATTCTTCAACGGCTGATCTGCATTTTAGCATTTTATAACACGAGCAACAATCAAATTTAAACAATAAAAAAAATGTATTACATAGGCAAAAATTGAAATCAATATTGCAGAAGGGAAGATATTCACCTACTCAATCTGTGACACTTCCACTCAACCAACAGAGAGCTTGGTAGAAATTCAATTACATACCACTCTTAAAAATTCAAACTAGATATCGGAAGGATTAGCCTTCAAGTCACTTTACCAAGTTCCTCATATTCATTCTATTAACAACAATACATAATAAATTACACAAAACAGGCATTATAATCAATTACACAATTGATTGGCTGCATCCTATACAAATAACAATGCGCATTGGAAAATCAAATCTTTCTTCAAAGAGACTAGAACTATATGAAGACAGATTTTCAGTTTATAAAATTCTGATGTATGAAAAAAAAAAAAAAAAAAGAAGCAAATGCCAAAATCAAGACAATGCACACCATACAGTGCTTTGTAATCCCAAGAAATATAATTTAAATTTGTAATCCTAAAAAAAAAAAAAAATTAAACAACAAACAATGCACATTAGCTAGTGCTCTGCAATTCCAAGAAGTATAATTTAAATCTGTAATATTAAAAAATAAAAATTAAATAACAAACAATGCACACCAGTCAGTACTCTGTAATCCCAAAGAATAGAATTTAAATATGCAATCCAAAAAAACAAATTAAATACTAAATAATGCACTGTAGACACAAATTTTAAAACATGAAGTGTTTCAACACATTTCAAAATTTTATGTTACAAATGTCTACTGTTTAGTTTTTGGACTAAACAGTGTTGATTATTTGAATAGCAGGTTCTTATTTCCGATCTATATTTCAGATTGTTAATTACACATTTTATACAAATGAAACCTCCGATTAATGAAGAACAAAATAAACAACAAAAGACAATTTAAGAAAAATAAATATTTTATTTAAATTGTTATGGGCTTTGAACCCTTGAATACAAAATACAATTCTTGGGTTTGGAACCATTTACCTATTCATCGCCATTAACGTAGGCTCTTGAGTTCTCTAGGCTTCTCTTCTTCTTTCTTGTAACGACTTCTTTAGCTCTCAATTTCTTTCTCTCTCTCTCTGATCTTTTCCACTTCTGATTTTCTGATCTTGTATGATGGTCCTCGTATTTATAGAGGGCCATCCAGGTGATAAAAATGCCTCATCCTCAATTTGAATTTTAAACTGAATGATAGTGCCATTTGAATTTTGAATAATAACGCTATTTGATTAATCGTATATCTGATTAACCGGATTGATCTTTGGGGTTTCATCTTGTGTGGTATCCTTGTTGTAGGCTCTACATGTGTCATCTTTCGTAGGCTCCATGTGTCACTTGAGCATCTTGAATAACATTGTTGAGATACAACGTCGTTTTATTTATGCACTTCAACGGATCATATTGATCTTTTTAGGAAGTGATTACCTACAACCTTCGTATTATAGGCTCTATACATGTCATAAATTTAGTTAAAATTTATGTGCCAACAAATGCCCCTCGTGACTTGCACAAGTGAATTTTTTTAACTGTGCGAGTCACGATAATTTGGCACTTTTGTCTGGATGATCTTGAAGTTTTGGATGGGATTATTTCTTTGCTTTGGTCCCTAGCCTTTTTTTTTTTTTCCTGGTTGACTGCTCCTTATAGTCCATGGGCTCTCTTTTTTTTTTTTTTCATGGCCTTTTACTTTTGTTGCATAGGTCCTTTTTTTCATGGACTTAATTTTTTTTTATGGGTCAATTGCTCTTTATAGTCCATGGACCCTTTTTGTGGACTTGATCCCTTTTTATTATTTATTTATTTATGTATATTTTTTTACGGTCATGGGTAAGATCCAGGAATTTAAATGGGCCTTTCCTTTTGCGGGCCTCCAACTTGCCATAATTTTTTTTTTACAGCATATTTTTTAGGCCATCATGGATATTGATGGGTATGGTCCAAGATTTGTTTGGGACTTTTCTTTTGTGGGCCTCTTTCTTCATTCCATGTGGGCTTGCCACTTTTCTTTTTGAAGGAATCTCCTAATCCTTTTTTTTTTTTGTATGGGCTGGCTGTTGTATGGGCCCTTTTTGTAGACTTCACCTTTGTAAGCTCCACAATCAAAAAAAATATATACAACCCCTTTTTTATTATTATTATTTTTTTAGAATCCTTGTGGGATAAGGCTTTACACAAAATTGTTTTTGCATATACCTGAAACTCTTGGAACAAGACTTCAAACCTATATAAACTATCCTTCTTAGAGAGACACATTCAAGCAAAACCCTTTGCTCTACAAATACTCTGCCTTGCACACATTTATTGTGCAAATAGTTTGGTAAGTCCAACCATTCTCTCTCATCTCCTTCCAGCAAAAGGAGTTCTTCTCGTACCTTAAGTAGTACACAAGATCTTTTCATATCAGTTATGCTTTTTTTTTTTTTTTAACAGCAGCAGCCCCTTTTTTTTTTTTTTTTTTTTCTCTCTGCAAATTTTGTAGTGCATATTAGATCTTCATCCTTCCAGTTTATTTCCCTAAAAACTTGCCTGGCCATTGTCTTTCTCCTCTTCCCAGCAGAAGCTATTCTTCTTACACTTTAAAGAAGGCACAAAAGAATTCCTTCAAATTCCTTTTAATCAGGTATACTTCTCTATTTATTGCTTCTCTTTTTTTAACAGCATGTATTTGTTTATTAGCATTTCTTTTTTTAAACCCAAATATGAACACAAACAGTTTTTTTTTTTTTATTATAACAGCAAATTTTTTTTTAAATCTTTTTTTTTTTAGACCATGAATCTAAATAGGCCAAACAAAGTCCTTGTCACAAAGCCCTCTTTTTTTCTTTTTTTTTTTCTTTGAAGAACAAACCAACATAGGTTGCCTTTTTTTATTCCCACACTAGCTTCAATTTTTTTTTTCCATACTGTTTAGCAGGTTTTTTTTTTTTTTTTTTTCGGGGAACAAACTAGCACAAGATTTACAGAGTTTGATTACTCTGTTTTGCTGCTGCTATGTTTTTAAAAAAAACTTGAGCCCAAACAAAGACTTTTCTTGTTTTTTTATGATAACAGGAAAAATTATTTTTTACAGCAACAACCTATTCGTTGCAGAATTTTTATTTTTTTATTTTTATTTTTTTTTCAAACTGTTTAGCAGGTTTTTCTTTTTAGACTATGAATCTAAATAGGCCAAACAAAGTTTCAAAAAAAATTTTTTTTTTTAAGCTTGCTACATTGTATTTTATTTTGTATTAATAGCAGCCCTTTATACAATTGGCCAAATTTTTTTGTTAAAAGTCAAATCAGCCTTGCCCCCTCGTGATTGGTACAAGTGAATTTTAATTGTACGAATAATTCTCACACTAGCTTCATGGATACCATGTTTTTCTTCTCTCTTTTTTTTTTTGCTAACTATGAGCCCAAACAAAGACTTTTCTTGTTTAAAGAAAAACATGCTATACGCTTTTTTGTAACACCATATATTTGTTTATTTAGCAGATTTTGCTAAACCCAAATATGAACAGACTTCTTTTTTTTTTCTCATTTTTTTTTTTTTTAAAATCGAATTTTTTAAGCCTGCTACCTTTTATTTTATGTTGTATTAGTAGTAGCCCTTTGCACAATTGGCCAATTTTTTTTTTTAAAAGTTGAATCAGTCTTGCCCCCTCGTGATTCGTGCAAGTGAATTTCAATTGTACGAATCATGATGACTAATTTTCTTTTTTTTTTTTGGTTAACAATTATTTCATGTCTTTTTATCTCTTTTGCAAGCAACATGCAAGGCATCAGAGTTTGTTTGCAGATATCATTGCCTCTTCCAGCCTAATGGCAATGAGTGGCTTGAATCCTTGGCAGTGATTGTGTCCTTTCACCCCACCCCAATGGCTTGAATCATTGGCAGTGATTGTGTCCTTCAACCCAACGGCTTGATTCATTGGCAGTGATTGTGTCCGTCACCCCAATGGCCTGATTCCTTGGCAGTGATTGTGTCTTTCACCCCAAGGGCTTGATTCCTTAGCAGTGATTGTGTCCTTCACCCCAACCACTTGATTCCTTGGCAATGATTGTGTCTGTCACCCCAACGGCTTGATTACTTGGCAGTGATTGTGTTCGTCGCCCCAACGGCTTGACTCCTTGGCAGTGATTGTGTCTTTCACCCCCAACGACTTGATTCCTTGGCAGTGATTGTGTCCATCACCCCAACGGCTTGATTCCTTGGCAGTGATTGTGTCTGTCACCCCAACGGCTTGATTCCTTGGCAGTGATTGTATCCTTCACCCCAACGGCTTGATTCCTTGGCAGTGATTGTGTCCTTCACTCCAAAGGTTTGATTCCTTGGCAGTGTTTGTGTCCATCACCCCAACAGCTTGATTCCTTGGCAGTGTTTGTGTCCATCACCCCAACGGCTTGATTCCATGGCAGTGATTGTGTCCTTCACCCCAACGGCTTGATTCCTTGGCAGTGAATGTGTCTGTCACCCCCAACGACTTGATTCCTTGGCGGTGAATGTGTCCTTCACCCCAACGGCTTAAGTCCTTGGCAGTGAATGTGTCTGTCACCCCAGCGGCTTGATTTCTTGGCAGTGATTGTGCCCGTCACCCCAACGGCTTGATTCCTTGGCAATGATTGTGTCTGTCACCCCAACGGCTTGATTCCTTGGCAGTGAATGTGTCTGTCACCCCAACGGCTTAATTCCTTGGCAAGATGTGTCTGTCACCCCTAATGGCTTGATTCCTTGGCAGTGAATGTGTCTGTCACCCCAACAGCTTGATTCCTTGGCAAGGGGCTTTCGTCAATTTCTTTATATTATGACATTTTGCCTTCACTGAGCTGTTTTTTTTTTTTTTTTTCTGTTTGGCCGTACACAGTTTATACTCTTGTGGGCCAGGAGTATCCAATGTTTTACCACCTTAGATTTTGGTGAGATAATTTAGCACGTTAACCACATACAATACCGTTGGTGGTCTTCGACTTATGTTTGGCCGTACACAATTTATACTCTTGCGGGCTAGGAGTATTTAATGTTTTATCACCCTAGATTTCGATGAGGTATTTTAGCATTTTAACCACATACAATACCGTTGGTGGTTTTTGACTTACGTTTGGCCGTATACAGTTTATACTCTTACGGGCCAGGAGTATCCAATGTTTTACCACCTTAGATTTTGGTGGGGTATTTTAGCAGTTTAACCACATACAATACCATTGGTGATTTTTTTTTTTTATCTAGCGAGCTTTTTTTTTTTTTTTTTCGCCCTAACTTTTGCCTAGGCCGTCCTTTCGGGTTTTCAACCTAGCAGGCTTTCTTAAGGGTAATATCTCTTCAAGAACCTTGCATTGATTGGGAGAATGATTCTATCACCATCCATCGTTATCAACAAATAGGCCCCATTAGAATAAACCTTCTCAATCACATAAGGTCCTTCCCATTTGGGCTCAAGCTTGCCTTGGTTCTTCATGAGACTACTATGGGTGTTCTAACCATTAGTACCAAGTCTCCTTTTTTAAAGGAACGAAGCCTCACTCTTTTATTGAATGCATTTGCCATCCTTTGTTGGTAGATCTCCAAATTCTGTTGAGCATACAACCTTCTTACATCTAGGGTCTCCAGCTCAGCCAACCTCACTCTTGCACTTTCATCTTCTGTTAAGGACTCTTGTATTGCCACTTGCAATGATGGTATTTGAACCTCAAGTGGTAACACTACTTCTCCTCCAAAAACCAATGAATAAGGGGTTGCTTGAGTAGGAGTTCTGTGCGAAGTCCGATAAGCCCACAAAGCTTCTTGTAACTTTTCGTGCCGAGCTCTTTTGTTCTTATCCACCATCTTCTTTAGAATTTTGCACAATGTCTTGTTGAAAGCTTTTGTCAAACCATTGGCAGGTGCATGATATCTTGATGAATGGTTTTTATTTTTATTTTTATACTTGGCAAATAACTTGTTCAAAGCATCACTCCTGAACGGCTGTCTATTATCCATGATGACACTTTCTGAAATTCTGAACCTGTAAATGATATGGGTTCGGATGAACTCGTAGACAACTGTGTTTTTTATATCCTTTAAAGCCACAACCTCAGCCCATTTTGAGAAATAGTCAGTAGCAGTTAGGATGTATCGATATCCTGCTGAAGATGAAGGTACAAAAGGACCAATAATATCCATACCCCATGCTACAATGCAAATGGCCAAGAACAAGTTGTTAAATGTAAAGGCTCTGGGGGTTGGTGGAGAAAGTTCCCATGGAATTGGCAAACTTGGCATCTTTGAGCATAATCTATGCAATCTGCAATCATAGTCGGCCAATAGTATCCCAACCGTTTTAGCTGCATATGTAATTTAGGACCACTTTGGTGTGCCCCACATACACCTACATGTATTTCTGCCATTACCTCTTGAATACGCTCCTTGGCTATACACCGCATGTACATTCTATCCAAAGACCTTTTGTATAACCCATTCTTTCACAAGACGAATTTGGTAGCCCTGCGTCTCACTTTAATTCTTTTTACTTTATCTTCAGGTAGCCTACCATGTTGGAGTTAAGCTATGAATGGTTCCCGCCAATCCTCCTTGCTTTCTCCCTTCGTGGTGACAACCAAGATTGGAACCAAGTTTGAAACTTCTTTTAAAGGTTGTAACACCTTTCTTTCGCCTACCGTGATAGTAATTGTTTTACTAGGGTGAGTGATGCAGCCAAACTTGCAAGTGAATCAGCTCGAGCATTTGTTCTTCTCTTCACGTGGAAAATATGTGTTTTCCTGAATTGCGAAAGCAATTGATCAGCCCTTTCATGATACGGGATGAGACTTGTTTTCTTAACAATATATTCTCCACGGAGTTTCTTTACCACTAGTTCTGAATCTCCATAAATTGAAAGTTCTTCAATAGGAATTTGTAATGCCAATTATAATCCAGCAATTACAGCTTCATATTCTGCCTCATTATTGGAGCATCATTCTCTTAAGGTGAAAGAATGGGTGATTATAGCTTTGTCTGGAGTCACAAACATAATTCCAATTCCAGCTTTATTGTTTTTAGGATTTTCTTGCTTCTTGTCATCTGGACTCCTTGAAGCTCCATCGAAATACATCTCCCATCCTTTCTGGATTTCTACTTGCATAACCTCTTCATCTGGTAAATCAGTTATTAGAGGTGAGTCATCAGGTATAGGATGTGCTGCCAAAAAATCTGCTAGAGCATGCCCCTTTACAGCTCTTTGGGGAACATATTCAATTGCGAATTGTTGGAGAATTACAGCCCACTTTGCAATTTTCCCCGAAAGTATGGGTCGTGAAAGTATATATTTCAAGGGGTCTGTTCTTGTATCAACTTGACTTTGTGTTCCAAGACATAGTGCTTTAGTTCTTGCAAAGCAAACACCCAGGCAAGACATGTCATTTCGATAGGAGAATAATTGACTTCTACCCTAACTAGAGTACGACTCAAGTAATACAAGGCATTTTCTTTCCCATGCTCATTATGTTGTGCCAACAGTGCCCCTAACCATCCAGGGCTGTTATGTACAAGAAGAGTGTTTTCCTTTTTATTGGGCTCATGAGTATTGGAGGCTTCAAAAAATACTCCTTAATACTATCAAAAGCATTTTAACACTACTGATCCCATTCAAATGGAACACCATTTTTCATCAATCTTGAGAATGGCCAGCATCGACTAGCCAAGTTAGAAATAAATCTTTTGATATAGGCCAATCTCCCTTGTAGCCCTTTAAATTCCCTTAAATTTCGTGGAGGAGGCATTTCAGCAATGACTTTAATCTTGGTAGGGTCAATTTCAATCCCTTTGTTTTGAACAACAAACCCTAGAAATTTTCCTAAGGAAACTCCAAATGCATATTTTAGTAGGTTCATCTTGAGTTTGTATCACCTCAAACGTTCGAAGATTCTTCTCAAATCTTCCACATGGTTTTCCTTTTCCTTTGTCCTGACGACAAGATAATCAACATAACATTCGATGGTGTCATGGGGCATATCATCGAAAATTACAGTCATTGCCCTTTGATACGTGGCCCCAGTATTTTTCAGGCCAAAGGGCATTACCTTATAACAAAAGACTCCTCTCGGAGTCTTGAATGCAGTTATTTCCTCATCTTCAGGTGCCATTCAGATTTGATTGTATCCTGAGTATCCATCCATAAAATACAAGGTTTCATACCCAGTAGTTACATCTACAAGAAGTTCAATGATGGGCAAGGGAAAGTCATCTTTAGGACAAGCCTCATTGAGATCACGAAAATCAATGCAAACCTTGATTTGACCATTCTTTTTCTTGACCGGCACTATGTTTGCTAGCCAGGTTGGATATTTGACTTCCCTGATGAATCCCGCATTGATAAGCTTGTCAACTTCAGCTTCAATTTGGGTTGTAAGCTCTGGTCGAGTTCGCCTCTGAGGCTGTTTACTGGCCGTTTCTCAGGGTGAATTGCAAGCTTATGGACTGCAATCTTTGGATTAAGACCAGACATCTCACTGTAGTTCCATGCGAATATGTTGCGATACTTCCTTCAGAAGGAAATATATTGTTGAGTTTCTTCTTCCTTTAAATTTGCACTAATGAAGGTTGGTTTGTTTTTTCCTTCATCACCCAGATTTACCTTATGAAGGTCATCCACAGTGGCTTGGCCTCCTGCTTCAAATTCTGTTGGTGCAGGTTGAGCTTCATCTTGGTCAACATCTTCTAAAACATCTTGAGTGATAGTCATGTTTACTGGAAATTTTTCCTCACCCACCCGATAGCCTAACCCTTTTGTCCTGGTGGTGATAATACCGCCTTACTGAATAGCCTGCCTCTGCGAAGGTGTTAATGCAAAGTCAAAGGGTGTCATTGTTCCTGATATTTTTTTCAGGATCTAAACCAACTTTTACCAACATCTGTGTAATTTCTGCATTGAAGGTAGGCTTCTCAAAACTCGAGATGTTTTCTTTTGGCACTTGTTCAACTTTCGCTTTCTATTCAACATCTCCAAGTGAGTAGAATATTATGGGTTTCGACCTTTTTCCTTTAAGAGGGACGACAATCTTATTATATTTCTCCACATAGGTGCATTCTGTCCTCTTTAATGGCAACGTGAACTCACCATTGAGATCCAAAATTGGATTTATTGGGGCTTGAGCCTTTGCCCCCGGTTTCCTTTTGGACTTTGGCACATATTGAAAAGTTATTTTTGTTGAAATTGGAGTAGACTCTAGAGCGTCTTTGACATTCAGAGTATCTTCAAACTTCTTCACATCTTTTCCCTTTCTTTGTGAAGTCTTTGTATAGAAGCGAGCATCAACATAATAGGCCTCTACTTCTCCAAATGGATCATTGTCAACCACAATTGTCCCCTCTTTTTTTGGTGAAGGCAACGGGTACTTGATACATTAGTGATAAGTTGATGGCACTGCATGATGATTATGCATCCATGGTCTCCCAAGCAAAGCATTGTAAGAGATGTCTACATCAATGGCCAAGAACTCAGTGCTTTCTTCAATATCCCCAAACTTGGTTCACAATTCAATCTTTCCCAATGGGTGTTGTTCATTCTGATTAAATCCTTGAATGACCAGACGACTTGGGCGCAGTTGTGAAATTCGAATCCCTAATAGGTTTAAGGCCCTTCGAGGCAGGAGGTTTACTGCAGATCCTCCATCAACCAAAATTCGAGAAATTTTCACATCATAGATAAGCCTAGTGATAAACAAAGGCTAATTATGGTCTGCCGTTTCAGCACACATGTCATTGTCATCAAAGGTTACCATAGCCATGCATGTAGTTGTCTTCTCTTGATTTCTACCCTCAATTTCTATGGAAATCCTCTGGCTTGGACAGGACATATATTAAAGACTTTCAAAGCTCTGGAGACATTTTTAGTGCATCATATACACTCAACAATGCTGGAATTTTCTTTAGATGAGCTAGTACATCATATTTCACTTGCTCTTCCTCCAGCAAAACCTGTGGAACTTTTGACGTTTGAGGGTCCTGAGGATTTCGTAATTTCCTCCGAGAGGTCAAGTAAGTCTGGCATACTTTAGCAATCACCTTTTCGTTGACCTCAACTTCTTTTGTTCCCTCACCTATTTAGACCATGTTAACTGGTCCAGCTGCAGGGCGATCATCATCATCAGTCACTTCTCCATCTTCCTAGAGTTGCATTCTTCTTCCATTTCTTAGGTACCGAGAGTCGCGCCTATAAAAGCATTGGGATTCTTCAAAACCATTCTTCATGGCCTCCCAACTAGGCACCACGACTCCATCGAAGGAGCAATACTAGTCAAAGGCAATCCCCTCCAAGGAAATGAGGAATTGTTTTAGGCAAAGTGTTTGATTTTGAGCCGTTTCCCCACACTGTTTCAAAAAATGCAATATGTTTTTGAGTATCTCCATACCCTTCATATAGGACAAAATTCCGAAATGGAGTTTGCTCTACCCACAAAGGGAACAAATCCCTTGGGCGATAAGTGCCCATTTTTCGAAGATCAAGGGCAGTTTCAATCTTCTCCTCAATTGTGCCTTCTATGAAATCATATGTTTGAGAAGATGTACCCTCGTCCTCCAAATGTTCTGACATCTCAATCTCTATTAGCCATGGTTTATAAAATGTCCTATAGAATCGATCAGCCATGGTGTCCCAATTTGGGATTGAATTAGGTGGCAGGCTGAAGTACCAATCTGCTGCCCATCTCTTCAAAGAAAGAACAAATTGCCATAGAAGTAATGCCGGGCTTTTTACTGTGTTTCCACATCGTGCAAGGAAACGAACCAAATGGCGCCTTAGACAACCTGTCCCATCAGATAAAGGAAAGTGAGGTACTGCATATCCTCATGGAAACTGAACCCATTCGACCCAATTAGGGAAAGGGTGTCCAGAAATTTGATTTCTTTCAATAATCAAATTTTGATAGGCTTCAAAACCCTCATCTTTTAAAAAGACTGTTACTTTTGCCTGATGTTCCACTTCCCTTCTAGCTTCAATTTTTGCTTTCTCATCATCACCTAGATTGCGAATGATATGTATTTCTCACTCTTCAAAATTTATATCCACAGTGATAACATTACAAGGAAAGTCAAAGTGGTCACTTGATACACTTTCTCCATCGTATGTCCTAGCTGGGGATATGTATGGTGAACCATCAGGAGAAAAGTCAAGTTCTTAATCTTCATTAGGATCCTCAACTTGAGATGACTTTGCTTGTTTACTTGAATGCTTCCATACTTCATCATCCGACTTACACCTGCCATTCACGTCATCATCCCTGAAG